TAGCAAATAAGCAGCACATTTACTAAAAATTTCCCACAGTGTTAATCGTAATCCTTCCTGGCTTCGAGAACACTGTGGAAGAGGATTTATCAACTTGTTTATAGTATGGTGATTGCAACAATAATTGTCTAAAGTAATAAAAATTGAGAAGATATGTATGATATGGCTCAGTCTAGATCTGATCCAATAAACTTGATAGATGGTTGGAATTTAATAGTATAGATTTACAAAGTGTGTAAGTGCTTATGAACATCCATATATTATTATTGATATTTACTCATAAATCCTTAATATTTAGTTATTTTTCTTAAAACATAACACAATATTAAACAATATATATATATATATATATAGAAAAACAATGATTTCTAGTTTGTATTTTCATGTAGAGTATGACATGAAATGAAAAAGAAAGTTTCATGGATTTTATTGAATTGCTTGTTAGGTGGCTATGATTGTTATCTGGCATCTGTACTTCAAGAATGTTTGACACATCACAAAAATGACTGGAAATACATGCTGAAAGGATAAATTTAAATGAAAATTTTGGGGTGTAAGATCTGTGCTATAGCAGGGCCCTAGTGTATTCATCAAGTGGGAAAGGAAATCCCATTTTTACCTTCACCACTGAAGGTGGATGGAGGTTATATTTTCAACCCTTTGTGTGTTTATCAGCAAGATGTTTGGAAAACGGCTGAATGGATTTCAACAAAAGTTGGTATGCATTTGGACTATGACCCAACGTAGAATTGATTATTTTTGGAGGGTCAAGGTCACGAAAATCCATTAATCTATTCGTTAATACGAGGACTGATTTTTTTACACTGTTTTTGCTCTATAACTCAGTCAAAAATTATCAGTTTTTGATTAAACTTGATGGATTTATGTAGAATATTACTCTTTATTATCATGTCAAAAATAGTCCATGTCTGTTGATAACAACAGATATATGGAGACATTTTCATAATTGAATATAATCAACACTGTGTGGCAGAGGTATGCACTCTACTGAGTGTCTCTTTAGTTTTTGAGCATCTCTTATATTGTTCTATTTGTTTTGGCTGTAAAATATCAGTATAACTGTTTCTAAAGTAATAGTTACATGTTTTGTTGTAGTCTATATACATCTGTTATGTAGATTAATTTGTGATGTTTGAGTTTGAAACCAATTTTTAAAGTGTGTTTCCACACAATTACCTATTTTTAGATGGTTATACTTGTATTACATATGTTCACTGTGAGAACAGACAGTGCGAATTAGTTGGGTTAGTTCATGTTTCTTATAGCTTCTCTCTTCTGAATAAGAGAAACAAATGTGTTTACTCATGTACATTGTGAGAACTGATAGTGCAACATTAGGTGTGTTAGTTCATGTTTTGTTTAGCTTCTCTCTGCTGAATAAGAGAAACAGATGTGTTTTTGCATTCTTTTATTTACTGGAACATACTCCCTATATGTGTTTCCTGCTGCAGTTTTGCATTATTTTGCCAGTGGTGTGGAGATATAATTGATATATTTTATGTTAAATTAGATTCCATAAGGTATAGATCTGCCATGGCCTGGTGGTTAAGGTGCTCGACTCACAATCTGAGGGTCACAGTTTTGAAACCCTGTCACTGAACATGCTTGCCATTTCAGTCATGGGGATGTTATAATGTGCCAGTCAATCCTACTACTTGTTGGTAAAAGAGTAATCCAAGAGTTGGCAGTGGGTGGTGTTTACTTGCTGCCTTCCCCCTAGTCTATAATTGCTAAATTGGGGACATCTAGTGCAGATAGCCTTCATGTAGCTTTGCAAAAAATTCAGAACACAGCAAACCATAAAGTACAATATATTTTATCACTGTATTACAGCACTGAATGTGTTCACAAGAAAGTGGAATTTAATGGTCTGCTATACAAATAGATATTGCTGTATAAGAAATTGTTGATTTGCTTTGGCAGTGCTACTTTTATAGATATATTTATAGTTTTATAAATTGCCACAAACTTCATAAGTTGAAATCACCTTTAGAGGTGTAACTTGTGATAGGAAGAAGAGACTAAATGGCTAGAGATCTAGAAGTAAATATATAGATCAGGGGTTCACGAAGTTAATACTGGGGGTTTGTAAGCTCTGTTCTTTAATTAAATAATGCACGGAAAGACACAGAATAATAACAACGTAAAAATCTGAGTTTGTTCTATAACTGTCACAATTTTTCTGGCTCTCTAAGTATGTGAGAAAAGCCGTTAAAAATTCAGCTAAGGTCCTTGATGCATTCTCGTGGGAAAAAATGTGGAATATAGTATCGATAAAGCAACATTAACCAGCTCTTTAAACAAGTAATTTTTTAATACTGCTGTTCTTTTAATTGCACACTCAGTTATATATGTCTTTTATTTGACAGTGAAAAATGGGAAAACAAGTTAATTATTAGTTAATAAAAATAGTTTGTTGGGTAGACGGAATCTTTCAAAAACATGGGGGCTGTGAGGAAAAAATAAAATAAAAGGGGTCCTTGGTGGTGAAAAGGTTGGGAACCACTGATATAGATTAATTGCATATTTCTTACTGAAATAAAAAATTTTTATGCAAAGATATCATTTTTTGGTGTCAAGCAAAGAACTTTCCATTCTATGTTTTTTTTTAAAATTACCATTATGTTGAGGCTGCATCAAGTAATAAATAGTTAAAATAAGTGAGAGGGATACAGTACTTATAATATATCACTTAACATAGTAGTGCTTAGTATATAGGAATGGGCTGAGAAAAAAAAAAGCTGCTGTGGTTGAGTTACATCCTTATTTGAACACCTAATTGCCATTATCGAGTATTTCACAGCTTGTGAGACTCCTAATATCATTGAAAAGTGTTGTTAAAATGGAGAACTAGGTACTGGCTAAAGAGCCAATGTGTTCATCGTTCTTTTTTCTTTTCCCATTCTAATCAAAAAAATTTGTGAAGGTTTTGCAATGGCTTTAGTATGACAGAAAAGCATTTTAAGAACACTTAGAAACAGGCTATTACTAAGCACAATAGTGTTTAGTATAAGCTAAAAAAACAAAAAAGAAACCTTAATTCTAGTGTAGGTGATGTTATCATTGCCCCTTGAAGTTAGCTTTCTTACAGAATTATGGTGTTCCATTAAAAAGCTTAAATACATGGTGAAACAGGACTTACCAGCCAGTAATATATGAACATTAGATAACTGTAATGTAGAATATAGTCAATGCTTTGTATGCTATACAGTTGGTGTCTTTTGGGAGCTAACCTCTATATTATGTATGAAGTGAAGGAATAAAAAAGAAATACATATAGTATTAAATTTTATTACACACATTCATAGAATACACTATCTTTCAGTCTGGGCAAAAAACTTCAGCAAAGAAGTAATAAAAAACATTTTGTAAATGTAAAATGATGTAGGGATGGCAGTGCCAAAAATAATGCAAACATGAATATACGGATGATACAGCTATACATTTTTCATATGTTCTTTCCTTACTGTAGGTTCCTCAACATTAAGTTCAAAGAAGTTAAGATTATGACCAGTGATGATTAATAACCTAGTGTAGCCAATTGAATGCTATAATATCAATATCTGAGGTCACTCTACAAGTTTAATGAAGAAACTGACAAAAGTGATATATTAACAATATATATTACCATTGAATTATAAAAATAAAACAAATGTTCATATATCAACATATCAACCTACTACAGTGAAATGTTTTTTTTTCTAAAAAAGAGGGGAACGAGTAATAAAAAAGTTAGCAACAATTGAGTATAATGTAGGGATGACAATGCCAAAAAGTATAAAAACGAGGTTTGGGATGAATACAAAAAACCATACAAAAATCACTACATAAGTAGCCAAATCTTTCAAAGAATAATTTTTATCTACAACTAATGTTGAATTCCTGTCAATTGCATGAATTCAGGTTTGAATAAAAC